GTGTGAGTGTGTATGGAGTGTGTGGAGTGTGTGTGAGTGTGTGAGAATGTGTGTGTGAGTGTGTGAGAGCATGTGTGAGTGTGAGTGAGTGAGAGTGAGTGTGCGTGTGTGTGTGAGTGTGTATGTGAGTGTGTTCGAGCGTGTGTGCCTGTGCACTCATGTGATGTGTGTCAGGTACCTCGGGAAGCCAGTGCACACAGCATGTAGGATCTGGAGCCGGAGTTCCAGGTGGCTGGGCGCCTCCGGATGCGGATGCCAGCGCGTGAGCTTAGGCCTCCGTAGGAGCAGGGCCAGCGCCACACTCGTCATCACAAGCTGTCCCTCTAGGCCTTGCCTCAGCCTCCAGGTGCCAGGCCATGGGGCCGAGTGTGGTTTGTTTACTTATCCATCCGTCTGTCTATGTGTTTTTCTATGCAGGGTCTCTCCTGTACCCAGGCAGGCCTCGAACTCAGGCTCAAGTGGCCCTCCTGCCCCAGTCCCCGGAGCAGCCGTCATGCCGTCTAAAATGCGATTTTTAAAAAACAAGCGAGAGGGGCTGGAGAGATGGCTCAGAGGTTAAGAGCACTGACTGTTCTTCCAGGGGTCCTGAGTTCAATTCCCAGCAGCCACATGGTGGCTCACAACCATCTACAATTCAATCTGGTGCCCTCTTCTGGCGTGTAGGCAGAACACTGTATATGTAATACATAAATAAATCTTTAAAAAAAATAAAAATACTCCAAAGCCACAGAGAAACCCTGTCTCAAAAAAACAAAAAAAATAAATAAATAAAATAAAAATAAAAAACAAGCCAGAGACAACACGGAGGAAGTTGTTCGGGGTCGGGTTGTGTTCCTGCCTGTGTCGTCGTCTTTTTTTTTTTTTTTCCAGCTCCATAGGGCAGAGGGGGCTCCATGATGAGCACAGGAGTTCTCACCCCCATCCCCTACAATGATGAAGCTTAGGGAGGCCAGGAGTTTGAGCTCCACGTTGTCCTACTCCAGGTGATGTGGCATAATCATCCCAGCTGCAAAGGAGATCTGAATGGTACCTGCAAACTCTACACTATCAGGAGTCATCCCAACTTGGTCATGACTCCTGGCGCCACAGTCTGAGGCGCTCGCGTGTGAGGACCCTCCTTCCCCTCGGCCTCAGAGCCTGTCTCTGCCCCTTGGTGTGCCCAGGAGTGTGGCCATGTTCTAGAACTGTCTAGAATGGCTGCAGAAGTGGGCTCTCACTTTGCTCCCAAGACAGCCACAGCCAAGAAGCCTACTTACACTAACTGCACTTCTCATTATGGCCACTAGAGGGCGCTCCAGTCCCGCTGGTCCAAATAACGCAGATGACTAGGCATCTTGTGTAAACTGGATGTTCTGGGCATACTCAACGCCTAACAGCACCGAAGCTGTGCCTGGCTGAATTTGGGAACCAGCTGAGCAGAAATCCCTTGGGGCTCGGTTGGTAGAGTGTTTGTCTAGCACGTTTGAAGCCCTGAGTTTGATCCCCGATGCCATAAACCCTTGGTGTGGTTGTACATCTCAAGTGTCGGTGAAGACTAGGGGACTGGAAATTCAAGAGTATCCTCCACAGCACAGGGCGCTCAGGCAAGCCAAGGCTACATGAGGTCCTATCTTTAAAACAACAAAAACCTTGGCCTGACAATTTGAAGATGCAACACCACTTACCCTGTTGGTCTAGGGTAATGCCAGGGTTTCTCATCTGGATTCTCTTTGGATGCTCCTGCTCGGTGATACAGAAAGAGAACATCATGTTCACTCAAGGGAGGGACAAGCTAAAGGTCAAGCTGACCCAGGTCCGTCCATGTTTTAGGGCTATTCAGTGAGGCGGGTTTCCATAGTGTTATTCCATTCTGGGTTTTGGTGGCGTTGCATGTTGTCTACAGGGGTGTCTAGCGGCATGGGTGTTGATGGTAACATTTGGGTTTTTGAGAGGGGTTGTTTGTTTTTGTTTTTCGAGACAGGGTTTCTCTGTGGCTTTGGAGGCTGTCCTGGAACTTGCTCTGTAGACCAGGCTGGTCTAGAACTCACAGAGATCCTCCTGCTTCTGCCTCCCGAGTGCTGGGATTAAAGGTGTGAGCCACACACATTCCTCCCCCTCCCCGGCTGATGCTAAGTATGGTGAAGTATGTCTGTCAGGTGGTGAAGTATGTCTGTCAGGGGACAGAGGGTTTCCTGGTGTGTGTGGGAACCTGGTGGGTCTGTGAGTCAGAGTGTGAATGAACACTCTGTGTGTGTGTGTGTGTGTTTGTGTGTGTGTGTGTGTGTGAGAGAGAGAGAGAGAGAGAGAGAGAGAGAGAGAGAGAGAGAGAGAGAGTTCATGCACATGTGAGCCAGTGAAGTGAGATACGACATTCATTCACCAAGGACAACTGATGTCTATGAAGTCCCTAGTCCTGTGTCTAATCTGCCCAGCCTCTGTTGTAATGGCACACACCCTCATCCCTGCTTGGGACTCCAATATTGTCCCTAAAGCCCACTGAGCTCCTGGCCCTGTGAGGGAGACTGAGCACAGTCACTAAGTGATACTGTCCGTTGATACTTTTCTTTTTACCTTTAAGGGACTGTGGACAACAGCACGGCCCACCCCTGACCTCTCCCCCTAACCTGGTCATTCCAGACACCTCCAGCTCCCACCAAGCCCACTTTTCCAGGTGGGGTCAACACATCAGTGGGACTTTTCTCTGGACAGGCTGTAAGGGAACCAGCCTTGTCCATGACCAGCAATGCCACACTGAGAACTGCAGTACATTATGTAACTACTCAGTTTCAGAACACTGCAGGGAAGGAAAAGAAAGGTGGGTTTACAAGGGTTCATCATGGAGCCCCTGCCTAGAATTCCCCAGTGAGGGGCTGGGGGTGTGGCTCAGTGGCAGAGCCCCTGCCTAGAATCCCCCAGTGAGGGGCTGGGGGACATGGCTCAGTGGTAGAGTACCTGCCTAGAATTCCCCAGTGAGGGGCTGGGGGCATGGCTCAGTGGTAGAGTACCTGCCTAGAATCCCCCAGTGAGGGGCTGGGGGCATGGCTCAGTGGTAGAGCCACTGCCTAGAATCCCCCAGTGAGGGGCTGGGGGCATGGCTCAGTGGTATAGCACCTGCCTAGAATCCCCCAGTGAGGGGCTGGGGGCATGGCTCAGTGGTATAGCACCTGCCTAGAATCCCCCAGTGAGGGGCTGGGGGCATGGCTCAGTGGTAGAGCATCTGCCTAACATGGGAGCCACGCCCCAACCTCTCACTGGGGGATTCTAGGCAGGGAGGCTCTATGATGAGCCCTTGTAAACCCACCTTTCTTTTCCTTCCTTGTTGTGCTGTCTTGTCTCCCCAGATATCTCCCCACAGGGGGAGAAGAAGCACGGGAGAGCTGCTGGGATAGGATTCTTCAATCACAAGAGCACTGGACCGCTCTTTTCCACCAATGCTCTTTTCCCCGGCTGACTTTCACCGAGGCTGTGTGTGCACATTCATTCTTTCGCACTGCTAGCGGCTGCAGGCTGCCAACCATCAGAGAGAGACCACTCAATGCAGGCTGCCAACCATCACAGAGAGACACCCTCACCTTCCTTCCACCCCCGCAGGCCCTTGGCAGCCCAGTGCCTGGCTATGAGAGGCAATTGTGTACACCGCTCCCCCTTCGAGCATGCTTCCAACCCCAGATGTTTGTGAGCTCGTTCAAAACAGACCGAAGGGGGTGGCAAGGTGACTCGAGAGGTAAGGGCGATTGCTGCTGTGCCTAACGACCGAGCTCAGTCCCCAGAATCCATGTAGTAGGAGAGACCCAATCCCAGCAAGGTGTCTTCTGACTTCCACGGGGACATCGTAGAAGCTGAGCAACAGTGACAGCATTGACAAGAGAGATAGGGGGCTGAGCAGTGTGGCATACACTTGCAATCCCAGCATTCAGGAGGCAGAAGCAGAAGGACCGTAGATTTGAGGTTATATAAGGAGACCCTGTCTCAGAAAACAGACAACAAAAAGACCTCTTCACATTCAAGGGCCACACAACCATCTCAGGCTAAACCACGTTACATCAGGGGCCCCAGACTCGATGCTTTGAGTGCATTTCCTGATGGCTTTTTGTGTTTTTTCAAGACAGGGTTTCTCTGTGTAGTCCCAACTGTCCTGGAACTCACTCTGTAGATCAGGCTGGCCTGGAACTTAGAGATCCACCTGCCTCTGCCTCTCAAGTGCTGGGATAAAAGTGTGAGCCACCCAGCACTCGGGAGGCAGAGGCAAGTGGATCTCTGTGAGTTCGAGGCCAGGCTGGTCTACACAAGAGCTAGTTCCAGGACAGGCTCCAAAACAATACAGAGAAACCCTGTCTCAAAAAAAAAAAACAAAAAACAAAAAATAAGTGTGAGCCACCACCACCCAGCTATAAATTAACTTTCAATTATTATTTTGTGTGTGGGTATTTGTGTTGCATGTATGTGTATCGTGTGTGTGTACCTGGTAAATGAAGACCAGAAGAGGGCGTCAGATCCCCTGAAACTGGAGTTACATATGGTTATGAACCACCACATGGGTGCTGGGAATTGAACCCAGGTCCTCTGCAGGAGCAGTCAGTGCTCTTACCCGCTGAGCTGTCTCTCCCTCACCACGCTCCCTGTGGCTTTTCTGTGCCTTGTCACCAGATCAGTGTGATATGTGAAACCCACACCCTCCTCTAGCACTCAGCAGCCAGAGCGACAGCTTAAACACAGGGCCATCATCATCGAGGAGCCAGCCAAATCACCCCCAACACTGTCCATTAAGAAACCACCTTGCTGGGACCAATGTTTCTCAACCTGTGGGTTGCACTCCCTTTAGGAGTCAGGCATCCCTTTCACAGGGGCCACATACCAGAAAGCCTGCACACCAGATACTTACATTAAGATATTTACATTAAGATTCATAACAGTAGCAAAATTACAGTTACAAAGTAGCAATGAAAATAATTCTGTGGCTGGGGGGTCACCCCAAAATGAGGAACTGTATTAAAGCGTCACAGCATTAGGAAGGTTGAGAATTACTGTTGTAAACATTTTTATTTGCATATCAACTTGAGCCCTCTCTGTAGGTGCAAAGTAGGTGTCCATCAAAGTTAGCTGTAGACACAAGAAAAGGACAGAATAATCCTCCTCTGCCCACTTCGTTTGCCAAGCTGTTAAAGCACTATCCAGGCAAGCAGGCTCCAGGGGCTTCTTTCTTTATATTCTTTGAGATAGTATATCCAGTATTTTTTAAAAATCGATGTATTAAAAAAATCAAGTGTGTCTACAGCTACACCCCCCCAAAATGATGTAATCATAGAAAAACAAGATCATAAAAAGGACCACGGGAAGGCAGGCTTGCTGGCACGTGCCAAAAGTCGTAGCAGAGGCAGGCGGATCTGAGTTCGAGGCCAGCCTGGTCTACATAGCGAGTTCCAGGTCAGCCAGGGCTACAGAGAAACCCTGTCTGAAACAAAACAAAAACAAAAAACCAGGTCACTGGAGCCAGATGGAGTGGAACCTGGAATCCTAGTGCTCAGGCTACTACGGCAGGGGACTGCTGTGAGTTGGAGTACCAGGCCAGCAGGGCTGCATAGCAAGACTGTCTCAAAAAGATTTTTAAAAAAGGAAGAAAGTAAGGGAGGAAGAGAGGAGAGGAGGAGGGAGAAAAGCCGGTAAAGGTGCGCGCGTGCGCGGTGCTGCCCGCGTCCTCAGCCTTCGTTTTCAAACATGGAGGTAGAAAGAGCTTGCAAGGGAGGGGGGCAGCTCAGGGCAGACAGGGTGCAGGGACCCTGGCCCCCCTCACAGCTGTTCCTCTTGTTCTCTGTGCTCCATTTCTGCTCTAGCCTCAGCCCTCAGCACCCTGAGGCTCCTAGCCTCGCCTGCCCTGGGGACTCTCTTGGGCAAGGCTGGCAAGCGGGGCGTGCGCCAGAAGGCCCTTCTGCGCTTGCGAAACCACGAGAACCGTCCCGGGGTCTGAAACCTCACTGTCTTGACCTGTTTCCGGGCCCTAGGTCCTGGGGCTGTCCCTAGGGTAACCGAGCCAGCTGCGGCTTCCGCTACAGCCTGAGGCTCAGCCTCCTCCCTCTGGTCAGCTGGGACCTCCACCCTCTGATTTTCTGCAGCTCCAGTCCCTTGGTTAGCTGGGCCTTCTGCCCTCTGACTATCTATGGCTTCTGCCCTCGGGTCGGGTAGGGCTTCTGTCCTCTGATTGGCGGCAGCCTCAAACTCATGATCAGCTGCAGCCTCTGCCCTCGGATCAGCTGCAGCCCCTGCCCTCGGGTCAGCTGCAGCCTCTACCTTTGAATTAGCTGCAGCCTCTGCCCTCAGATCATCTGCAGCCCCTGCCCTCGGGTCAGCTGCAGCCTCTGCCCTTGGAGAAGCTGCAGCCTCTACCTTCGAATTATCTGGAGCCCCTGCCCTCGAGTCAGCTGCAGCCCCTACCTTCGAATTAGCTGGAGCCCCTGCCCTCGGGTCAGCTGGAGCCCCTGCCCTCGGGTCAGCTGCAGCCTCTACCTTCGAATTAGCTGCAGCCTCTGCCCTCACATTAGCTGGAGCCCCTGCCCTCGGGTCAGCGGCAGCCCCTGCCCTCGGGTCAGCGGCAGCCTCTGCCCTCGGGTCAGCGGCAGCCTCTGCCCTCGGGTCAGCGGCAGCCTCTGCTCCACGTTCAGCTGCAGCCTCTGGCCCCTGGATCTCTGCAGCCTCTGGGGGCCCCTCAGCTGGCATGCCTGTGCCCTGAGCTGGGAGTGGCGCCTGCTCCTTCCTGAGCCGCCTCAAGGAGACCCACTTGACTTTGGGCTTCCAGCATGTGGTACCCAGTGTCTGGTCGCTCCCGTCCTCTGTGTTTCTGGAGCTACCTTCCCCGCTGGAGTGGCTGTGCCTCAACTCTCCAGCCCTCTCAGCAGCGGTGGAGGCCTGCTGGGCCTCGCCCACCTCGGAGCCTGATCTGGGTGTCCAGGCCTTCACCCTCTGTTTCAGCTTCCCCCAGGACACCTGACTGACATACTCCCGCCATCTGTCCGCCTTGGACGGCCTGGGAGGCAGGTTGTCCTCGAACATGGGCACTGGCAGATTGACTCGGCGACGCGGAGGAGGCGCGCTGGGCTTCTTCTCTCCACGGCGGAGGAAGGCCTCCACCAGCTCCTGATCGTCCTCGCTCTCCACGTCGCTGCCCAGGAATTTGCTGCCCAAGTAACTGACCGGCATTTTGCGCACCTTTCTGGTTCTCTGGGAGTCCCTGTTGCCTTTGACTTTGGAGGTCTCGAAGTCACTCAACTCGCTGTCGCTGGCGTTGCTGCTGTCATAGGTGCCTACAATCAGCCGAGGCGGAGGAGTGACCATCAGTGGGATTCTCCTCACTCGGGGCTCCTTGGGCTTTTTGGGGGGCTGGGGTGGGTGTGGAGTGCTCTTTTCGATGATCCGGGCCACGTCTTCCAAGGTGCGGCCCTCCTCCTGCAGAAACTGGATCAGCCGCTCCCGAAACTCGGCTTCCTTGGTGGCTGGCTTGGAGATTACTCTCCACACGCCCCCAGCCAGCCGGACCTCCCGGGGGATGAGCAGATGGTCAACATCCTCCCCAATCTGCAGCATCCCCACCGTGGAGTCCTCCTCTTTGCGGAACACCTTCCCGATCTTCTTAAAGGTGCCCACCGGCCTTAAGGCCTCCACTAACACGTCCAGATCGACATCTTTGCAGACATCAGGGACACTCCAGAGGATCAGGCAATCGGGGGAGGGGAGGAAGCCCCAGGGGAACCAGCCCCCCACGTGACTTTTCTCGAGAGTCTTTAAGATCTCCAGAGTGGACTCTGGGGTGGGGGGCAAGAAGCCCAAACAAACAAACAAACAACTTAGCTTCTAGTCTTGGGGAGAGGGCAGAGAGGGCTCCAGCAACTCTGCTCAAGCAGAGTGTCACCTCCCCGCAGGCGACAAGTACCAAGTTGGGTTTTCTCCCTCCCCTCGGAGTTGTAGCGAGCAATTTTCCAGGATGCTTACGTGAACCGAGGTGCGGTCAGTCCCGAGGCTCAGAGCTCGATCCAAACTGGAAACGCCGGTGTCCCGGCTCGAAGCTGAGAACACACGGGCTCCGAGCGCTTCTCCCTTGGTCCCGACACCCGGGGTGCAGCTGAAAGTTTGTGGGAGGACTCTGCAAACAAAGGCGGCTCAGCGTGGCTGTCCAATATGGCGAGGAGCTTAAAGGCCTCCGCCCAGCCCCGAGGAGGGTCTCCCGCCCCCAGGCAGGCTGCCACGCGCTTCGGGCTGACCTCGCTTGCAGTCTGCGGTGGAGCTGAGTGTGGCAGGAAGTTTCTGGGCGCCCTCCCCTCCAGGGTGAGGCCCACCTTCTTCTCATCTTACACTCTCAGCCTGGGAAGACTGGCAGCGGAACTGGCCACTCCCTTCAGGGCAACCCCCCACAGAGGTGTGGCCGCCCCCTAGGGCCTCGCTGGGGCCAGGGCTTCCCATCTCAGCTTCCAAAACCCACGTCCTCACCTCCCCTCCCCCCGAAAGGCAGCTGGTCTCCAACCTGCCATACTCGATGTGCAAGGCTAAGGCCATCGCAATTACCGGGATGGGACCAGAGAGATGGCTCAATGGTTAAGAGCATGGGCTGCGCCGGGCGGTGGTGGTGCACGCCTTTAATCCCAGCACAGGCAGAGGCAGAGGCAGGCGGATCTCTGTGAGTTCAAGGCCCGGCTGGTCCGACAGCTTCCAAAACAATAGAGAGAAACCCTGTCTTGTAAAACCAAAAAAAAAAGGCTGCTCTTGCAGAGGACCTGGGTTGAGTCCCAGGACCCACACGATGGCTCATAACCCTCTGTTATTCGAGGCCCAGGGGATTCAACACCCTCTTCTGATCTCTGTGAGCACTGCACACACGTAGTGCACGTACATATACGCAGGCAAGACATTTTGCGCACGTAAAAAAAGGGACCTTCAACATAACTCAGTGGGTAAAAACATTTGCCATGCAAGCCTCACGACCTGAATTCAATCCCCAGAACCCACATAAAACCACCTCTACAAATTGTTGTCCAGTCCCCACACGCATAGATTAAACATACGTAAATATGTACACGATGATAAAATTTTAAAATAAAATATTTTCTTAAAAAATAAATCTTTAAACCGGGCGTTGGTGTTGCACGCCTTTAATCAGGAGGCAGAGGCAGGCGGATCTCTGTGAGTTCGAGGCCAGGCTGGACCGACAGCCTCCAAAACAGAGAAACCCTGTCTCGTAAAACCAAAAAAAAAAAATAATAATAATAATAATAAATAAATCTTTAAGATCAGAGAGATGTTGTGGTACCATTAGTTCTTTTTTTTTTTTTTTTTTTTTTTTGGTTTTTCGAGACAGAGTTTCTCTGTAGCTTTGGAGGCTGTCCTGGAACTCCCTTTGTAGACCAGGCTGGCCTCAAACTCACAGAGATCCGCCTGCCTCTGCCTCCCGAGTGCTGGGATTAAAGGCGTGAAACACCAACGCCCGGCCCATTAGTTCTTACTTTACTGTGTATCCCGAGTGACCTCAAACTTACAGCCATCCTCCTGCCTCAGCCTCTGAGTACTGGCCTTGGGGAATGCCTGGGCTGCCATGCCAGGATGAAAGACAATGTTTTCAACGACGACAACTACTGAAAGACCTCGGCATCAAAGCGCCGGGCACTGAACCGAACCCTCTGCCCAAGAACCGGGGCCAGACCACTGGCTGCAAATGCAAGAGGTGATTTATTGAGTACACAGGCGCCTGCGGATGCTACTGCAACTCGGGTGCAGAGCATACCGGGCTTGTAGGGAGTACAATATTTATAGAGTTTTAATGGTTACATAAGTATCAGCATAGCAACAGGCATTCCATTGGCTCATCTTGGGGGCAGGGGTAGTTCCCATGGACTAAGTTTCCTGGTATTACTTTATGAAAGACCCCGGCATGCTTCAGCAATTATTATCCGGGTCCCATGACTACTATGGTGATCATAGACACAACTGGGGGCAAGGGTAGTTGCCAAGGACTAGGTGTCCTGGTATTGTCATATGAAAGTTCCCAGCACGCTTCAGTAATTATTATCCGGGTCCCATGATTGCTATAGTGATCAGACACAATTGGGGGCCAGGGTAGTTGCCAAGGACTAGGTTTTCTAGTATTGTCATATGAAAGTTCCCAGCACACTTCAGCAATTATTATCCGGGTCCCATGACTGCTATAGTGATCACAGACATCCTGTTTTGAGGGTGAGACACCTGGTCTGGGTTTCTTTCATTAGGCAACGGCCTGGCCTTGCTTTTCTTTTCCTAGTGGGTCCTGGGTAGGGGTCTTTCACTACAAAAAAAAAAAAAAAACAAGTAAAGAAGTGACTTTAGGGGCTGGAGAGATGGCTCAGTGGTTAAGAACACTGACCACTCTTCCAGAGGACACGGGTTCAATTCTCAGCACCCATGCGGCAGCTCACAACTGTCTGTAACTCCAGTTCCCAGGGACCCAACACCCTGGCACAAGCATGCATGCAGGTAAAACATAAAAATAAATAAATCCTTTAAAAAAGGATTAATATCAACATATAGCAATTAATTTAATAAATCCTTTAAAAGGATTACTATCAATATATAACAATTAATTTAATACCGATATAAAAACATCTACCAACCGGGCGGGGGTGGCACAAGCCTTTAAATCCCAGCACTCGGGAGGCAGAGGCAAGCTGATCTCTGTGAGTTCGAGGCCAGCCTGGTTTACAGGGTTAGTTTTGAAACCCTGTATCAGGAAAAAAAAAAGAAAGAAAGAAAGAAAAAATTCTTCCAAACATGGAGTGCATACTTGTGATCTCAGTACTTGGAGGCAGGAGGATGAAGAGGGTAAGGTCATTCTCAGCTACAAAGAGAGTTCAAAGCCAGCGTGGGCTACAAGAGACCCTGTCTTAAATAACAACAACCCCAGGGCCTGGAGCGGTGACTCAGTAACTAAGAGCACTTGCTGCTCTTGCAAAAGAGCTGGATTTGGTTCCCAGCACCCACATGGTCACTCACAGTCACCCAAAACTCCAGTTGCAGGGCATCGGACTCTTCCTAATCTCCACAAGAACCAAACATGCACAGACATAGATTGGGGCAAAACAATCAGGCACAGAAAAAAAATAAATCTTTAAAAATTAAAGTGAAAAAACGCTCATGATTGTATTTAACTCGAGAAGACTTTGGAGGTCACTGTTAGCAATGCGGCGGGGAGGGGGAAGGGAGAGAAGGAAGGTACAGGAGATGCCATTTCAGACTGGGGCGGGGTGGGGGCGGGCGTTGCCGGCATCTTCCCCTGTGTCGGTGGCCGTTTCTGCTTACTCTGCCTGGGTAAACATTCCTCCTTTTCACGTGGCTGCGTTCTGCTCGCTCAACCCTCGGCCTTGAACGGTGATTGCCTCGGTAGACTAGCAGTCTCCAAGGCAACCAGGCCAGCAGAGGGGCCCTGGTTGAGCTTAGCAGGGAATTTCCACAGGTCAGGCACAGAGGCAGCCCCTCCTCTGGCCCCACCCACCGTCCTTCGGCCTTTTCTCCCCAAGCCGGGCTGCTTTGAAAGGAAATGTCAAAACGGCCCGGAGACACCGGCTTTAATAATTGGCGGCATGTGATACGTTCTAAATATTGAGGTTGAGGATTTGGCACTGTGGAGGAGCATTTGCCTAGCTAGTACTAGGTCGGGGTTATAAAGAATTCCAAATGATGGGGCTGGAGTCATGACCCAGGAAGTTTGAGCTCTTCCTGCTCTTTCCAGAGGACCAAGTTCGGTTCCCAGTACCCACAAGTTGGCTCACAACCACCTGTAACTCCAGTTCAAGGGGATCCAGTGCCCTCTTCTGATCTCCAAGGGCACCAGACGCACACATGCCACACATACATACACACGGGCGAAACACAGACTGAAATAAATGTAATCCACACATGCATGCACACGGGGGAAACACAGACTTAAATAAACATAATTTTTTGTTTGTTTGTTTTCCAAGACAGGGTTTCTCTGTGTAGCTCTGGTTGTCCTGGAACTCTCTCTGTAGACCAAGCTGACCTCGAACTCAGAGATCCACCTGCCTCTGCCTCCTGAGAGCTGGGAGAACTCCTGCTTAGAATTCCCCCATTAAGAGGCTAGGGATGTGGCCAGAGTGCCAGCCTATAGGAGGCAAAGCCCTGGTTCAATTCCCGATAACAATAATTGAATTTATTTTTTAAATATTTTATTTATTTATTGTGCATATAGTCTTCTGCCTGCAGGCCAGTGGAGGGCACCAGCTCTCATTACGGATGGTTGTGAGCCACCATGTGGTTGCTGGGAATTGAACTCAGGACCTCTGGAAGAGCAGCCAGTGCTCTTAGCCACTGAGCCATCTCTCCAGCCCCCAATAATTGAATTTAATAAATTTGAAAGCTGGTACGCCAGAGCATTATGGAACTGTGGTGCTGTAGCTTGCAGACAAGGAATCTGAAGAAATGAGGCATTCTCCCTTCAGTAGGAGGGTTACTGAAGAAACTTAGCAGGGGAGATTCTCACTATCCCTTCCCTCGGTCTGACTCGAGGCAGGATGGAAATCCTCTGCCACAGGAGACAGCCGACATCTCCTGGAAGAGAGTGCTGAGGACTCAGTCAACCAATCTCCTCTCTATTTGCCTTCCATTGCTTCCCCGCTGTGAGTCCCTGGTTGTCTCGTGAGTCCCTGGCTGCCTTGTGAGTCCCTGGCTGCCTTGTGAGTCCCTGGCTGCCTTGTGAGTCCCTGCCTGTCTCGTGAGTCCCAGCCTGTCTTGTCTTGCTCTGATCCTTCTGAGGCCTGGGGTAAAGTTATTGTCTGGCATGAGGGAGACCCTGGGCTCTATCCACAAGTAAAAACAAAGACCTGCGGCTTTACAAAGTTTGCAAAGTATCTCGCTTTGCTCACTGCCTTCAGGCTTCCCTTTCTCACAAGGATCCCCCAGGCTTGTAACTTTAAAAAAATGTTTGGTTCTGTAATAATTACCGAGCCAGACAGAGTCCCGGATAGAACCGAGGGTGTGGCTCACTGGGATTCCAGCTCTTGGAAGGCAGAGAAGATCAATTCTAGGCTATAGAGACCTTGTCGTAAAGAAATATATAAGGGCAGGCAAAACAGCTCAGCAGTAAAAGGCACTTGCCACTAAGTCTGAGTTCAACTTCTAGGGCCCACCCCATGGAAGGACAGAACCAATTCCCTGCTCTCCTCTGGCCCTCCCACACATACACACAAATAAATACAATATTTTTAAACAAATAAAAAGAACAAAGTAGAGCCGGGCAGTGGTGGCACACACCTTTAATCCCAGCAAATGGGAGGCAGAGGCAGGCGGATCTCTGTGAGTTCCAGGCCAGCCTGGTCTACAGAGCGAGTTCCAGGATAGGCTACAAAACAATACAGAGAAACCCTGTCTCAGGGAAAAAACAAAGTAGGGCTTTCCTTTTTCTCTTCAGGGATAGGAAAGGATAGTTTGAGTACCTGAAGAGCTATTGGGGGGCTTGGGGGGAGGCTGTTTGTAGCCCTTGCTGTTTTGGAACTCCTTATGTAGATAGACCAGGCTGACCTTGAACTCACAGAGATCCTCCTGCCTGCCGCCTCTGGTGTCAGGGTATATAATAACCAGCCAGGGTAGGAATAAAGGAAAGCCTTCTTGAGGAGCCTTCTGGAAGCCACTGACGGGTCTCTGTGTCATCAATCCCGACACCCTCGCCACATTCTTGGACACAGGCTGCACAGCGGGCACACAATTGGAGGTTCCACAGAGATCGTGAAAGCTAGGTAAGTGGACAGGGTTGTCCCTTTTGCCGGCCAGGGACACATTGGGGAAAATAAGAAAGAAGCAATGGGGAATAGTTCCGGGAAGCTTGAATTATAGTATCAAGTAAAAAAGTTACTTGAAGGACAGGGGACCATAGTCAAGGCTAAAACCCTAGAAGGCTTTCTAAACTCGATGGAACGAGCCAGTCCATGGTTCATTACTGGGGGAAGCTTAAATATCACAGATTGGGAGGAGGTTCGCCGTGATCTTCATAGACTTTTACGAAAAGAGGGATCTGAGTCCTTGCCCCTATTCCCATTCTCCTTATGGAGATTAGTGAGGGGTGCACTTTTGACAGAAAAGGTTCACTACCGCCAGGTAGTCCAGGCCACAAAAGAGGCTTTTTCAGAGTTACAAGAGACTGAGACTCAAGCCTCCTTGAGTTCAGGGGCAGAGAGTGAGGATGAATCATCTGAAGAGACCCTGCCAGAAACTAGAGGCTCCATTGTTAGTGAGGATGAGGAGGAGTCTCTTAGCAACAACAACAACAACAACAACAACAAAAAAAATGGGTAGAGATCTCGGGGCACGACCCAAAAAGAAGGCCTCTGGTCAGAATCGGTTATATCCTTCTTTGTCAGACCTAGAAAATGGAAGTAGCTCGGACTCTGACTCATCAGAGGCTGAGAAGGAACAGTAACTTGCTGAGGTTTGGGTCCTTAAAAAAGCACTAAAAAAGACTCAAATTAAGAAGAGCCAGGACAGGGAGAGAAACCCTCCTCCATACTCTGAAAAAAAGGACACCTCCTATCATATGACCCAACCCTTCTTGGACCTTGAGGGAAGACCCAGAGGAGGGGTCCAATGCTGCCCGGTGGTAGACCCAGTAATGGAAGTTCCAGACCGGAACAATCCCCGGCAGGTCATTCGGCGTCATGACCCTTTAAGTTTCAAAGACATACAGGCCATTGTGGAGCACACCCATGCCACTCTCAAACAATATTTTAAGAATAATTTGTCTGCTATGGAGAGACATTGGAACAAACCCTCCCCAGTCTTTGGGATGGGTCAGATGGAAGGATTTGATTACAGGAAAATGGCAGCCACCCACTCCCCTACTAGCTAGGGTCTGAGGGGCTGTTTGTGTTTTCCCTCCAGGAAGTGAGAAGCCCATTTGGTTCCCTGAACGGTGCATCAGGCATGTTGACCCCGATACTACTCCCAATACTAGGATGCTCACCATGATAAAGATGGTCCAACCATCGCCGTACACTCAGGTAAGGGAAGTATGGGCACTGGTGAGGATCCCCTCCATGTTGATGCCAGTTAGTCATTCCAGCTCCCTGTTCATCAATTTTATAGCACCAATAATACATTGGGAGCGGCTGCTGCCAATGAGAGATTAAAAAAATCAGAAACTAGGCCGGGCGGTGGTGGCGCACGCCTTTAATCCCAGCACTCGGGAGGCAGAGGCAGGCGGATCTCTGTGAGTTCGAGGCTGGGCTGGACCGATAGCCTCCAAAACAATACAGAGAAACCCTGTCTCGAAAAACCAAAAAATAAAAAAAAAAATCAGAAACTAGGCCGGGCATTGGTGGCGCACGCCTATAATCCCAGCACTCGGGAGCAGAGGCAGGCGGATCTCTGTGAGTTCGAGGCCAGCCTGGTCTACAAAGTGAGTTCCAGGACAGCCTCCAAAGCTACAGAGAAACCCTGTCTCGAAAAACCAAAAAAAAAAAAAAAATCAGAAACTAAACATTCTGAGTTTCCCCCTCCTAAAAGGGAATCTCTGTTTTATTAAAAATATTTAATATCTCCTGGATTAAATCTCCAGGCCTCCGCCTGACACCGAGGCCAGGAAAGAAAGGGGAACCTGAGAGATCGCCCTCAGTTGGAGGGTGGATTGAGTATATCTTAAGGCTTTTGCCTGAGGGAACATCCTCAGTTGGAGGATGGATTGAAAATGGGTGAATAGCCGGGCGTTAGTGGCGTACACCTTTAATCCCAGCACTTGGGAGGCAGAGGCAGGCAGATCTCTGTAAGTTCAAGACCAGCCTGGACTACCAAGCAAGTTCCAGGACAGCCTCCAAAGCCACAGAGAAACCCTGTCTCAAAAAAAAAAAAAATGGGTGAATCAAAAAAATTGGTAACAGTAAACGAGGTACTGGTATTAAGTAAAGAAAAAGGAAAAAGGTATATGGAATGGAAAAAGTTTGTTTGCATTTAAGGTCAATTTTGTGAGTCATCTCTAAAAACTTTTGGCCAGAAGCCTGGCCTCTCAACCTTGCATCTACAGAATTACAAGGAGTAGGTATGGCTGTAGACCCTGACTGTAGCTCAAATGGAGGAATGATGAAGGGCATACAGACTTTTTAACTTTTTAGTTCAAGAATTGGCTGGAGTTGTTCTTTTACATAGATTTCAACTAAGGAAGTTTCATTTCAACAGACTAATCATGACCTAGGGATAAAGGATGACCGAAAGATGCATGTATGTTCTGAATGTATGGTGTGGCCACACTGGTATATATGAAATGTGATTGTGAATGCGTGAGTGTGAACTGCTTATATGATTAAAAGGATACTTAAATCCCTTCAAAAATAGTCTCGGGAGGCAGAGGCAGGCGGATCTCTGTGAGTTCGAGGCCGGGCTGGACCGACAGCCTCCAAAACAGTACAGAGAAACCCTGTCTCGTAAAACCAAAAAAAAAAAAAAAGTCAAAAAGCTGCCTAAATTGCTTTAGATATAGCCAAAAGGAACATCCAGCCAGCCGGCTAATGTCTTAACAGAAAAGTTAAGATGCAAATGAGGCCTTGTCAGCTAGTGAGAGCTCTATCGGTTAGATTGGGAAAGACTGCTCACAGACTTCAAATAACTTTCAAAAGTTATTTGGGACACAGTACAAGTTACAATCTTTGAGTGATTTTCAGAAGTTTTTGGGAAATACTTAATGGATATGTCCTTTTTAAAGGGCATCTACTAATAATCTAGATAGTGATCCCAATTCACCTAGATAGTTAACTAAGGAGGGTAGACAAATCCTTCTACTGTTATGGTCCAGCTTCAACAGTTCAAACAAAATTTAGAAAATTAAAAAGGGGGAGCAATGTCCCCAGTCCCCACATGACTCATCAAATAATACACTCCTCATTTAAAAATTTTTTTAATGTGAATGCCAGTGAGCAATCTGCTTCAGACAGATTCTGACATGATGGAACTTGAGCAACCATTGCTCAGGTCAAATAGAGACATCCATACACTAGACAGTGGAAAGACCCTAATTTGGGGTTGAGGGCATGTTTGTGTTTTCTTGCAGGAAAAGAATAAAGCTTTGGCAGCTGTCAGAACGTTTGGTGAGATGCATGGAGCAGAGAAAAACTGGACCTGAGACCGTGGGAGCCTACCTAAGCCAGTTTGAGTGAGATCTCCTAAATCAGTGTTCCTGACCCTTGATGTCATCGAATCTACAGCCCAAGAAAGAAAGAAAAGAAAACAGTTGGTTCCAGATTTCCAGTTTCTCAACAGGCCTGCTGCATCAAGCTCCCGGACCCGTGAGTTTTCATCCCAAAGCCAACAGAGAACTGGAAGATTAACAGTCTGTCTGCCTACCTGGTAGTGGGTCCCTAGACACAGAGTTGCAGATGAAGTCTGGGAACTGAACACAGGTCCTCTGGGAGAGTAGCCAGTGCTCCTCACTGCTAAGCCATCTCCCCAGCCCCTCATACAGAGTGAACTCAGTGTACAGTTGAGGATAATCTTGATTTTCTGATTCCCCCCCCTCTTCCTCTCAGAAACTGGAACAACAGGTGTGCACCTCCAAGCACAGTTTTTGCATTGCTGAGGACTGGACCCAGGGGCTTCCTTCATGCCAGCTAGGCAAGCAAGCACTCTACAACAGAGCTACATAAAAACAGCCTGGGGTTTAATTTTTTTTTTAACAGACAAGGTTTCATGTAGCCAAGGCTGGTCTTAAACTCATCCTCCAGTCTCCTCCTCCCAAGAGTGGGAATCAGATCTCAGCACACCCATCTGTCTCTCCACCACTTGTTTTTATTCTAAACAAACTGTTCCACCTTTCACCTCAGCATCAGAAAACAGCCTGGAGTCCAGGGAAGCCAGCCAGGTAGAGGAAAACTTGGAGTTCTGTGTTCTCTCAGCCAGTGGCATCAGATAACATCTCTTTTTTTAAAAAAAAATTATTAAGCAAAACTCAGTTTTTGGAATTTAAAAAAATGCCTTTGTGTGTGTGTGTGTGTGTGTGTGTGTGTGTGTGTGTGTGTGTGAGAGAGAGAGAGAGAGAGAGAGAGAGAGAGAGAGAGAGAGAGCTGTACACACGTGTATGCGGAGGCCAGAGAAGAACTTTTGAGAATCTGCTCGCTCCTTCTACCCTAAGGGTGCTGGGGGTCCAACTCAAGTCATCACGCTTAACAATTTTACTGACCCACTTTTTTTTTAAGTAACCAGATCATTTTCCCAAAGGAAGTCTAATGTGGCTCCCCTACCTCCCCAGCATACTCAGGACACACTGTGGTTTCATTAGCATCCATTTATTTCATTAGTTTATATTTATACAGTAGAGTGTCAATCACAAAGAACAAAGAAGGGTAAACCTGCTCCTCAAACGGGGTTAGGGGGAAGGCTGTAGTAATTTTCTTGGGGCTTTCTGCCTCACACCTGCAGCATGGATGCAGGTAAGTACCAAATCGTTCCCGTTTCATGACCATCTGCAGTGCCCTGTCAGGAAACGTCACCTGGTCCCAACGACTTCCCAAGGATAATGGGCTCCTGGATTCTGGATTCGTGGGCAGCATTTAGTAGCGGTCCACGTTGCTTGCCACGGACACAGTGGCCATATGAGAAATGCCGGGAAACACATGCACGTCTCCAGCTGCAAAATGAGAAGAAAAATGTCACATTGTCCTTTGTTATGCAGCTACTGTGCTGTTATGTTAAACAACTTGCATCAAGCAGGTGCACTGGAGGCTATGCCGCATCTACGGAAGGTCAGGCTGGCGTAATAATTGACACAAGACACACAGTGTTCTGACAATGGGAGAGCCAGGGCCAGGACTGACAAGTTAAATATGGAGCCAAGAACCTCTTCTTTTTTCCCTTTTTCTTCCTTTCTTTTCTCTTTTTTTGGGGGGGGATGTTTTTTCAAGACACGGTTTCTCTGTGTATTCCTGGCTGTCCTGAAACTTCCTCTGTAGACCTGACTGCTCCTGGCACTCTGTGCGTGCTGGGGTGGATGCTCATGCCATCCATGACTCTTATGTGGAGACTTTCCACCATGTGGGACCTGGGGATCAAACTCAGGAGGACAGGCTCTGCAGCCGCATCCCTGGAGTCATCATCTCTACAGCCTATAGAGCAAACAAGCTTCGTGACCATGGATTTGTAAGAAGCTCAAAAGTGTTTGTGGAGACAGCAGGAAAAGCTCTATCCTGTCTGCCCATCGCTGTAACAAAGAAAAGGATGTTGATGCTGGTACCAGAAAAAGCCAACTTGGGAAATGGATAGAAACCAGTGTCTCCGTTTGGGACTTTAGGTTGTGTCAATCAACTGAATTGGAAAACTCCCTTTGGTGTGTCTTGCTGGAGACATACGGACAGAGACAGGTATTTCCAATGGTGTGGCTGCCCAGATGGAAATGCAGAGAGCCTTTGGCTGTGGTGGTGAGTAGTAACTTCCAAGGAATCAAAAGAGGGGATGGAAAGTAAAGTCACAGATAGATCTGTGCATACCCGGGTGTGGTGGTGCACACCTTTGAGAAGTATTTGCAGGTGGATCTCTGTTAGTTCAAGGCCAGCCTGGTCTACACCATGAGTTCCAGGCCAGTCAGGGCTATAAGTTTAAGTCTCGAAACAAAACTAAGAAGATGTACCTGGTGCCCATCAAAGGCAGCACTGAGGCAAGGATGAAAGAAAGGCTCCCACCTACGATGCCAGCACTTGGGGGCAGGGGCCAGACTACTGAAGGAGCTACAGTAGCCCCAAACAAACAAGATATGGGAGTCTCCTTGTTGTAAGATAGTAGAAAAATCAACACATGGGCCTAGGTGGTGGTACAGGCCTGTAATTCCAATCCTAGGGGGACTGGGGCAGGGGGATCATGAGCTAGACAGAGGCCAGCCTGGGGTACGTAATAAGTTTCAGACCAGCATAGGCTACATAGCAAGACTCTGTTTCAAAACATTAAAATTTTGTGTATACACAAATTACAGTTTTTAAGGAGGGGGATAATTTATTTATTTTTATGTGCATTAGTGTTTTTGCCTGTGCATGTGTATGAGGGTGTTTGGTCTTGGAGTTACAGTTCTGAGCTGCCATGTGGGTGCTGAGAATTGAACCCAGGTCCTCTGGATGAGGAGCCAACGCTCTTAAGTTTCTGAGACATCGGGCCGGGCGTTGGTGGCGCACGCCTTTAATCCCAGCACTCGGGAGGCAGAGGCAGGAGGATCTCTGTGAGTTCGAGACCAGCCTGGACTACCAAGCGAGTTCCAGGACAGCCTCCAAAGCCACAGAGAAACCCTGTCTCGAAAAAACCAAAAAAAAAAAAAAAGTTTCTGAGACATCTCGCCAGCCCCTATAAATTACATTTTTGAAAGGCAATTCACCTGGAGCCGTCATAGATGCCTGAAGCTGTAGAAGTTTGTAGGTGTCCTAAAAGGAGACATTCTCTCCACCCATCCACAGCTGGAGTTCATCATGTGTTTTCTGAGGGGGTCCCTGCAGGTGTCATACAGGGAAGGGAACCACTCAAAGAGATAGGAATGAAAACTGGGTGCAGATTGATTTCAGTTGGGATCAGATTTTGGGGAATCTAATAACAGGTAGTTTATTCTCAATGTATTTAAACCCAGTATAATTTGAGAAAAAAAAAAACTTCCCTGGTGTAATACTATCTTTGATGCACAGGAAGTGTATTACATTGAAACTCAACTCAGGTAATGCCATTTCTTCCAAGAAAATGGGTTCTGGAGATAGGCTACCTGTGCTAGTTTAAGAGCCTAAGGGTCTGGACTGGTCTCAGTCATACAGACAGCATAGAGGTCATTTGGGCTATTAGCCACCTCTGGCCATGGTCATTGGAGCCTGGGGGAGCCTCTAGCTATTAGGGTCGCTTAGATTACTAGCCACTTCTGGTCTTGATTGTAAGAGCTTGATATGGCCTGACCCAACAGATAACATAGATCACCAGGCTGTCAATCACTTCCAATTCTCAGCTTTCTGGATGGAAGAACAGGTTTTTCATCTTTCCCACGGCGAAAACAATCCTGTATGCTTAACATTCCTGGTTTCTCTGGAGATCTGCAAGCATAAGGACTTTCGTGCTGTGCTCCAACATTTTCCCTCTTCTCTAGCCTCACATGATACTCAGCTCATAGACCTCAGGACTCATTATTTATTGATACAGAATCCCATGTAGCTCCAACTGGCCTCAAACTTACTATACAGACAAGGATGGCCTCGATCCCTTGATCCTCCTGCTTCTGTCTCCCAAGTGCTGAGATTCCATGAGCCATCATGGTTGGCTTAGTGATTCTCTCTCTCTCTCTCTCTCTCTCTCTCTCTCTCTCTCTCTCTGGGAAGTTCAACTTATTTTTTTTTCTAGAAGAATGTCTCCCCTCTAAGACATGATTACTCAGACTTAATTTGGGGAGACCTACGTGCTTATCTCAGGGTCCATTAGGGGTTGAAGACTCTCACCACTGACCTCCCTTCAGAAAGGGAGAGTTGCCACATATTGAACAGACCCAGCCCTTTAGGGACACATACAGAACAGCAAAGTCCTCAGTGCAGTGGAGCCCAAGGGTAGCCTACGTGTCAACCATGATTTATGAACTGTCCTCAACATCAAGAAGCCCCTGGAGATGGCAGGAAAATAGTGACCTTTGTTCCCGGCAAGAATCTTCACGATAAGTTTTTATGGGGTCAGCTCCAGTTTGGGCAAGTCTACCAAAACAGTTTCAAAAGCTTGCCCTTCATGGATCTTCTCTTCGGGCAGTGGCTCGCAGGCACCTGTCCCCTCTATGGTCTCTATGGCAACAGTCACATGCACTGCTGTGGATTTGGTTCCCTCTGAGGGGCTGGTCCTGCTGGCCTCCAAGTGGCTAAGTCTTTACAAGTCTCTGGGGCCTTTGTCAATCAGAAGTTGCTCTCCTTCACTCAAGCAATAACTCCCACATACATTGGGGATATTCAGTCTCAAATGTTACCCACAATTCCTCAAATACAGAATTAGAGCCATGAGGGCAAGGCTAAAAATCATTGACTGCGTGCCAAGCTCCTGGTACATTGTAGGTGCTCAGAACATTTTTGCTGGTTGGATGAATAAAGTGTCCCACACTCAGCCGTATATGATCTCTCAGCTTACTTTAAATTCACTTTGATGAAAACTTTGCTCACCTAGATGTATCCAAGTAACACCATTATTACTCATGAGTGTCACAGACTATTGGGATTTTTCACCCCTCATTATCCCAAGTACCATTCTGGGATACAGTAGGGATGAAATAGACATATGTAGAGTGAACGAAAGAAAAAAAAAAAGAGAGATGACCCACATCCAACCGGATGTTAGCCACACCCACTCAGCTGTAGTCCAAAACACAGATGAGAGTACCAGGCTCAGGCTGTAGCAAGAGCTCATTAGCAGTTTGCCTAGACCCTCCTAGCGAGGGAGCTGGGTGCATGGATTCTGATAGAGCCCTTGAGGAGCATGCTCAAAACCCTAACACAGTGCAATCCGTAGCGGTCAAGTACCATGCGCAACACTAGGTGATACTCACACTGGCTCAAAGGTCGCCCACTCACTGGCCCAGCTCCTCTTATCCACGCTTACTCTCAAGTGCCACAATGCGATATGCCCTCCCACAGTCACCCCACGCCCACTCGGATGACTCCCACCCGCCCTCCGCACACCCTGCCCCCCCCCACTCACCCAACATCACCTCACAGCTTCTTATCAGAAGCCTGCTGTCGGCGCCGACTTTTCTTATTTTTCTTCTTGCCCTTCTTGCCCTCTTCAGCCTTGCTCTCCTTCCCTGGGTCCTCTAGAGGGGGCATCCCATGCCCCGGGGGCGGTGGCCCCCTTGTCTGCATTCTCCTCCCCCTGCGGAGACAGGCAGCACTTCCTGGAAAGGAGTTCTCCAGGACCTGCTGTGGTGGGACACAGCTCCCGCCTGAGAATGCGAGCCACATCCTCTACCGTCCTGCCCTCTCTCTGCAGGAACAAATTGAGCTTGGTGAGGAATTCGATGTCCTGCCATTTGGGCATGTAGACCACCCTCCACATGCCGCCCTTGCCCCTGATCTCCCTGGGAACCACGTCGTAATTGAGGTCCTCGGCCAACCTAATGATAGCCGCCTTGGATCTATCTTCCTCTAGGTAGGCCTTCCCAGCCACTTCGAACTTGCCCAGTGGTTTGAGGGGAGTGCGTATGATGTCTTCAAATTCTTGGTGGCTACAGTCCTCTGGGATCCCCAGGATCATCAAGGACTTGTAACTGTCCACCTCCAAGGCCTTGCATCCATGTTCTAACAACGCAATGTCCTGGGCTCCAAATACCATCTTGCCCAGCTCCTTGAGGCAGCTGTATGCGCGCAGCTGCGCGGTGGAGCTGCCTCGAGAACCCACGGAAGGATCCAGGGTGCCGAGAGCTGTTTCTGAGGGTGATGAGAAAACGAGGCCTCAAGGGCGAGGCTACTACTAATAGACCCAACCGGTCCAACTCAGTCAAGGGGAATCCAGTCTTCTGCAGCCTGCTCCCTCTGAGCTCACGCTTGGAAGTTGCTAGCAACTCACATGGGCCACAGAATTGGAGCTGGGCGGTCGTGGCTCCCAGGTCCTGGGCAAGGCCTCTCCCAGGAGAGTTTTATGATGCAGACTCCCCTGAACTGGTGGTGGCCTTGACAATCTCTGTGGACCCGAGACCGCTAGTCTCCCTGCTGCTATTGTCACCCTGAGTGCCGTGGGTGGCGACTTGGCAGGTTGGAGTTGGTCGCCTCTCACTGCTGGCCCAGAGGTCGCCCTCACGTGCCCTGTGACAGAGTTAAAGACCAGGATGTGATGGTGGCGGCTGCACTTGCTCCGGCAGTGACGTCATTGCTTTCTTTGCACTGCGGCTCCGCGGTCTCCATGGCAACCGCTAGAGCATTGTCTCTGCCATTGGCGGGGGTACTGCGGCATTGAAATCAGAAACCAAGGCAAAGAGGCGTCATTATAGGAAGCAAGGGTCAGCTCCATCTTTCCTTTCTCAGGCAGGGCGTGTGCAGGGAGGCAAAGAAGATACAAAACAAGCCTGCAACATGGTTAGCGTTCTGAAAGTTATGGTATAGTTAAAGAATAGTGACAAAACCGGTAAGGACGCAGAAGCCAGCTTGAATTGTATCCACCGGCCAATTCAGGGGCGTCTTTCTTTTTCTTTCATTCTTTCTGTTTCTGTCTCTGTCTCTCTGTCTCCCCCCTCCTCCGGCTCCCCAGCCACCAGACATGATCTCATGTCTCCCAGACTGGTCTTGAATTTACTATATAACCGAAATTTTGGACGTCTGATCCTCCTGCCTCCACTTCTCAATGTCCAGGGCTAGCTAGCTACTACATGCCTGCACCGTCGAGCCTGATTTATTCAGTGCTAGGTATGGGACCCAGGGCCCCTAGCTGCCCGGCAAGCTTTCTACCAGCTGAGATACACCCCAGCCGGAGCATTAACGTTGAAAGCAACAGATTGTAACAGACTGATACTCCCCAAATAAAATAAAAACAGCTGGGTCCATGTAAATATACACACATTGAAAGTAATTTTTAAAAAAGTCTTTCCTTTTTTGTTATATTTTTTTTGTGTGTATTTATGGTTGTATGTTCTGCCTGTGTGAATGCCTGTGTACCACAGGCATGCCTGGCGCCGTGGAGAAGAGGATGCCTGATCCCCTGGAACTGGAAATACAGTTGCGAGCCCACCCTCATGAAAACTTCCATCTGAACTCAGACCCTCTGGGAACACAGGAAGTGAGCCTGGAAGATGGCTCAGTGGTTAAGATCACTGGCTGCCCCTGCGGAGGCCCTGAGCAACCACATGGTAGCTCACAACTACCGGTAGCCAAGGGTGGTGACATACACCTTTATTTCTAGCACTCAGGAGGAAGAGGAAGGTTGATCTCTGTGACCTCAAAGCCACCCTGGTTTACATAGCCTGATCCACGTGGCAAGTTCCAGTCCAGACAAGGCTGCATAGTGAGATTTGCACTAAATAAACAATTAAAAACCTAACTACTTAAGCCGGGCGCTAGAGGTGCACGCCTTTAATCCCAGCACTCGAGAGGCAGAGGCAGGCGGATCTCTGAGTTCGAAGCCAGCCTGGTCTACAGAGTGAGTGCCAGAACAGCCGGGGCTACACAGAGAACCCTGTCTCAAAAACCAATAAATAAGTAACCTAGTTACTTGTAATAATAATGCACTCCCTGGCCCCTTTAGGCACCCACACAGGTACACACACACACACACACACACACACACACACACACACACACTTAAAAAGAAATCTTAAAATATTTTAAATGTAACAGCACATAAATTGTCTATGCAACATGGGAAGCAGTGTGAATCCAGCCCTGTGGACACACTTCCTTTCTCAAATTCCAAAGGCACTGGGCTGGGTACAGGGTTCATCAGTCGAGCATTTGCTTAGGACGTTCCTAAGTGGCATGCATCACACCACTGCAAAAGTCACACAAAAAGAGGGCAGGAAGGAGCAGGAGAGATGGCTTAGCTGTTAAGAACACTTGTTCTTGCAGAGGACCCGAGTTCAGTTCTCAGCACCGACATGGCAGCTCACAACCATCTTGTAAGTCACATACAACAATAAATATGTATGTCTTTAGAAATAAGTAAAAGTAAAAACATTCACTTTTAAAAGAAGACGGTGGGAGAGAGAGAAATCACCTTCAACGCTTCTATATAAGCTTGTGGTGTGTGTGTGTGTGTGTGTGTGTGTGTGTGTGTCGCATGTGTGCAAATCCTCTGAGAGGCCAGAAGAGGGCGTCAGGTCCCCTGAAGCTGGAGTTGCAGGGGGTTGTGAGCTGTCTGACCTGGATACTGGGAACTGAACTTGGATCCTCAACAGGAGTAGGAATCATTCTTAACCCATATGCCAACTCTCCAGCCCCACACCCCTTCATTCCTATGCATAGTATCGTGCGTTGTAACCCAGAGATGCATTCTCCTTCAAAAGGGAAGTAAAAATGCTGACCCATAATATTTGCTGCTGGGTTTATGAGTCCCTGGCACTCAGCTGCATGTCCCTGGTCTTATTAGGTACATTCCAAACTGAGAAGCCAGCAACAGAATGGTTCATTTATTTGACACCAGTGTTTATACCTTTCGCCAGGCTCCGGGTGGTGTGCTGAGCATACTTGAGTGTTCAGATGGGACAAGCTATGCATTTAGGAGCCCCGTCTCGTGGTTACGGCAGGCTGGCTCTGGCTGTTTACAGTGGGGGGAGGGAGGAAGACGAGAATGTTTGCTGGAGGGAGGCGAGGCCCTGGTGTGGGGTGAACAGAATACACTGGTTGGGCTTGGTGAGCCTGGAACACATTTTGCTGTCGTTTAGGGGGCGGTGCTGGCTTCACTGCCATTACTCTGGAGGAGTGAGCGCTTGGTACATTATTCTTATTCTTTCTAGTAGTTGATGGGCCGTAGGCATTTCGGATGGATCGGGTGGGGCAGGTATTCTGTAACTCGGGAGTCACTTAGAATACTAAGTGTTACACAGCTCAGATGGAAAGGTATTCTGGAGCTCGGGAGCCAAGGACTACCACAGGCTTTAGTAAGTATAGCAGCTTACAGCCCCGCCTCAGGGAAAGGCGTCCCCAGTTTATTGGCTCTGCTCTGGCAGCAGACAGTATTCCAGCTAGGGATGTTTTGCCCAGTGTAGCAGTTTTACTCCCGCAGGAGAGGGTTTCCCGGGTGAAGTTGCTACAGTTCAGCTCTGCTCCCGGGAGAGTGGAGAGCCCAGTGTAACAACTCCATTCTGCCAGTAGAGAAAGTGTTACAGCCCTGCTGGCTCCCCTCTGCCCAGGGTGGTCTCTGCAATGCAGTAAAAGAAGATCTTCACCCAAAGCTCATCCAAGGGGTTTATTGGGAGGGAAGAATCCAGGAGAGTGGCTGCCCTCTGCCAGAGTGGCAGAGGACAGCCTGGTAGTGCCAACAGCCACAAGCTGAACAGACACAGGGTTTATACAGGGCTTCCAGAGTGAGGATTGGACAGATTTTAATCTCCTGCTCAGGGATTGGCTAGTTTTCTGCACAGGGTTAGGGTCAGATTTGGCTCTGTGTGAAGGCATACATGGAGGCAGAACATTGTATACATAATAATAAATAATAAATAAATCTTTTTTTTAAATGAGGAAACAAGCCCAGAGAGGAAGATAGATGGCTTAGGTTTAGCCTAAGATCACTGGCAATGTCAAGGTCATCGGATAGCAGAGTTGCGGACCCTCCACTTCTCTGAACTCCTTTCTGGTGGAGCAGAGCCTACAGCTCAGCCCTGGAGGTTTTGAGGCTGGCAGAGGTGCGTCTAGGTAAGGCAAGAGAAGAGGCTCAGAAGGCCGAAGTTTGGTAAAAAGGAAAGTCTTGGAGGTCTGAGACTCTCAGATTCTGGCCCGGTTCTCGGCTCAGGGCAGAGAATGGCTCTTGCAAGGGAGGGAAACACAGAGGCCGATAGGCCTGGCCTCTCCCCAACTTCAGCCGCAGCCAGCTAAAGCAAGCCCAGAGTTACGCAGTTCCGTCCTCCCCCCCCACCCAGTCTGCCACTGGGTGACCCGCATGACCTTCCCAGCAGGCACCTGGTGAACCCAGCCCTCAAATACAGCCTGGCTGGAGGGAGAGCAGCCCCTTAAGAGCAGTTTCAGGCTGGGGCCCAAAGAAAACTACTTACTCACAAGCAGCTTCGGAGGCCCCGGGGGTGGGGGGACTGAATGGGCGGGATTAAGCCCTTTCCAGGGTCCCTGGGCCTCGGAAGCTGCTGAGAGGCGGTTTTCAGAGCAGGCAGCATCATCCGGGTAAAGAAGTGTCTGTAGACTGCAAAGGGAGATGATTCGGGATTCTTTTCTTTTTTAATCCCTGACCGTGTTATCACAAATATCCCTGGGAAGGCTTAAAGCAAGAGAGTTGGGTAAGGGGGCTGGGAGTTGAAGGCCAGCCTGGGGGTGAAAGACCCCAGGCGGGGGACTTTCACGGGAGGGAGACCCGAACCCAAGGAACAACGAGACCACGAGCTTGGATGCAACAGCAAGAGGCTTTATTTACACACGGGTACCCGGGCGTCTCAGTCTCGGGGGGCTGAGCGCCCCGAGCTGGGGACTCAGGGGTCCTTTTATAGCAAAAAGCGCAGTACAGAAGCGAGAAGCCTAGTAACAGGACCCTGATTGGGCAATTTAAATGAGGCTAGGGCTCAGAGCGCGGGCAAATAGAGATTTTTCTTGGAACTCAAGTTTCGGCCTTGGCCCTATCTGTGAGACGTATCTCAAAAAGAGAGGGAGGGAGAGAGAGGAAGAGAGGAGAGGGAAGAGATAAAGCAAGAGGAGAGGGCAGGGGGAGGCCCTGCAGTGTGACCTAGAACGCAGGGAGCCCTGGGCTCCATCCTCCTCCATGCATTAATGTTGTAGGAAGCTCACACGTGTGATCCCAGCTGCAGGAGGTGTTGGCCGGAGAGTCAAGAGTTCAGGGCCTGGGCTGCAGAGATGGCTCAGAGGCTAAGAGGCTGCTCTTCCAGAGGTCCCGAGTTCACTTCCCAGCAACCTCGTGGTGGCTCACAACCACCTGTAAGGAGAATTGGTGTCCTCTTCAGGCAGAACACTAAACACTTAAAAAAAAAAAAAAGAAAAGAAAAAGGTCAAGGCCATCTACAGAGTCTTAGGGAGTTAGAGGCCAGACTCAGCCAGAGACTACTTCAAAATGGAGAGGAAGAGGGAGAGTAGGAAGAGAAGAGGGAGGGGAGGGGAGGGAAGGGAAAAAGAAGCCAGGAAGGATCCATGGCAGCTTGAATGACAATGGCCCCCATAGTGTCATATATTTGCATTCCTGGTCCTCAGCCTATGGAACTGACTGGAAAGGATTAGGAGGTGTGGCCTTGTTAGAGGGGGGTGTGTTACTGAGGGTGGGCTTTGGGGTTTCAAAAACCCATGCCATTCCTAGGTAAGGCTCTCTGGGTCTGCCTCACAGAGATC